TTTTTTTTCTTGAGGAAAACGGAAAAAACGTCAAGGGTTTCTCAGCTGATGATCCGCAGAAATTAGTTTTTTACGCAAAATCGATTAAAAAAAATATTTCTGTAGCAAAAAATCCTGACCTGATTGAGCAAAACCAAGGTCATTTTCGGACTCAGAGCCTCAAAATTAGTCTAATTCAGCTGGAAAACCCTGGACTATTTTCCAAAAATATTTTTTTGTTACCCAGTGTTCTAGAACAGTAGGAAAGAGGAGCACACAGCACAAATTAAGTCAATCAATAGCTATACTAATTAAAATAAAACAATATCTAACTCTAGCATCAAATAACAAGTATAAAATCTCTATCTTGAAAATTATACTAAAAAAGTTTTAAATTTGGCAAAACAAGGCAAGTATAAAGTACTGTGTGTTCTAGTGCAAGCAATGTGTTGGTACCATGTTGGTACAGTATATGTTAGCATCTGTACATTAGCAGCAGTATGTTAGCAGCTGCACATGTAGTTATGCAATGACAGTATATTTTTGATTTAAAGTTACATCTCCATCTCCAAGGTCAACGTCATACACGACCATTTCTAATAAAATCGTTCAGACTCTTTTATGTCCAATGAGAAGGCAGAATGTGTGGGTGTCCAGGTTCTTTGAGGCCCTCCCTCCGGGTTGGTCACTGGCTGAACACTAAACACTAGCTCGGGAATCAGACAAGAAGAATTTATAGTAACATTTCACACCAGTTGGAGCAAAAATTACATAAAGTTCCTCAAATGTTATTTCAAGTGCAAAACATTAGACATTTTTCTCTGCCGGTGAAACTTCCAGAAAGACTTGTAGGAACACGGTGAGCTTGGTTAAGAGGCGAGGACACACTTTGTAATGAATGAAAGGAATGTAGAGGATGATTCCGCTTAAGAGGGATAAAGCCACGTACAAATATTCTAACTGCGGATTGTCTAAAATGGGCGTCAGAACAAAAAAGATCGATGCCGCCACAACCAGCACAGGCAGTAAGATGAAAACCTGTCCCAAAAGACGCCAAAACAAAATTAGACAATATTCAGTTTGTTAAATAATCAATATTCAAACTACTAACTTTGTATGGTCTGGGAAGCGACGGTTTCTTAATGCGGAGATAGATGACACACGATACTGTCACGGCGTAGAAGAACCAGCCAACAAAGCTTGAGATGGACAAATGTGTGTTTTAATTTGAAATTCTACGGAAAATAAACAATTTCAACCTCACCTTGAGTAGTTGACAATGGTTTTAAAATCCCCAGACAGGAGAACGACCAAGGAAAATAAACAATAAACAATAAAATTAAAAATAAAATAAAAAAAATAAAAAATACATAAATTAAAAAAAAATTTAAAAAATAAAATATAATAATAATAATAATAATAATAACAAAAATAACAAAATTTAAAAAATAATAATAATAATAATAATAAATAAATAAATAAAACAAAAAAATAAACAATTTCAACCTCACCTTGAGTAGTTGACAATGGTTTTAAAATCCCCAGACAGGAGAACGACCAAGGAGATGAAGGTGGTGAAGATGAGCGATGGAGAGGGAGTCAGTCTGCGCACATGGGCCATGGATAGAATGTCCGGCTAGAAGTGCATGCAAAAGGTTGAAGTTACAATTCCAGTCCTCCGTTTGAAAAAAATTATAATTCCAAATCCATTTTTCTTTACCAAAAGTCCTTCTCTGGCAACCACGGACACAATTCGTCCACCAGCAAACAGGGAGCCGTTCAAAGATCCAAAGGCAGACAAGGCAGCAGCCACAGACATGATCCATCCCCATCTCCCTAAAACCTTGTTCCTGCATTTAAGATGGAGAGATCCTTTATTTGTTCCACAGCGGGGAAATTTCAGTGTTGCATCACCGGTTACAGAACAGTAGGAATGAGGAGCACACAGCACAAGATAAATGAACTATTAATATAAGCATCTAAGTCCTTTGGAATAATAAGAAGCAAGAAAAAAGTACTGTTTTCTCGGGCAAGTAATTTACACCTTTACAATTTACAACATCTGTACATGTTAGCAGCAGTATGTTTACATCTGTACATGTTAGCAGCAGTATGTTTACACCTGTACATGTTAGCAGCAGTATGTTTACATCTGTACATGTTAGCAGCAGTATGTTTACATCTGTACATGTTAGCAGCAGTATGTTTACACCTGTACATGTTAGCAGCTGTATGTTTACACCTGTACATGTTAGCAGCAGTATGTCTACATCTGTACATGTTAGCAGCAGTATGTTTACACCTGTACATGTTAGCAGCTGTATGTTTACACCTGTACATGTTAGCAGCAGTATGTTTACATTTGCACATGTTAGCAGCAGTATGTTTACACCTGTACATGTTAGCAGCAGTATGTTTACATCTGTACATGTTAGCAGCAGTATGTTTACACCTGTACATGTTAGCAGCTGTATGTTTACACCTGTACATGTTAGCAGCAGTATGTTTACATTTGCACATGTTAGCAGCAGTATGTTTACATCTGTACATGTTAGCAGCAGTATGTTTACACCTGTACATGTTAGCAGCAGTATGTTTACACCTGTACATGTTAGCAGCAGTATGTTTACATCTGTACATGTTAGCAGCAGTATGTTTACATCTGTACATGTTAGCAGCAGTATTTTTACATCTGTACATGTTAGCAGCAGTATGTTTACATCTGTACATGTTAGCAGCAGTATGTTTACACCTGTACATGTTAGCAGCAGTATGTTTACATCTGTACATGTTAGCAGCAGTATGTTTACACCTGTACATGTTAGCAGCAGTATGTTTACATCTGTACATGTTAGCAGCAGTATGTTTACACCTGTACATGTTAGCAGCAGTATGTTTACACCTGTACATGTTAGCAGCAGTATGTTTACATCTGTACATGTTAGCAGCAGTATGTTTACACCTGTACATGTTAGCAGCAGTATGTTTACATCTGTACATGTTAGCAGCAGTATGTTTACATCTGTACATGTTAGCAGCAGTATGTTTACATCTGTACATGTTAGCAGCAGTATGTTTACATCTGTACATGTTAGCAGCAGTATGTTTACATCTGTACATGTTAGCAGAAGTATGTTTACATCTGTACATGTTAGCAGCAGTATGTTTACATCTGTACATGTTAGCAGCAGTATGTTTACATCTGTACATGTTAGCAGCAGTATGTTTACATCTGTACATGTTAGCAGCAGTATGTTTACATCTGTACATGTTAGCAGCAGTATGTTTACATCTGTACATGTTAGCAGCAGTATGTTTACATCTGTACATGTTAGCAGCAGTATGTTTACATCTGTACATGTTAGCAGAAGTATGTTTACATCTGTACATGTTAGCAGCAGTATGTTTACATCTGTACATGTTAGCAGCAGTATCATTAGCAGCAGTATGTATACATCTGTACATTAGCAGCTGTATGTTTACATCTGCACATTAGCAGCAGTATGTTTACACCTGGTACATTCGAGCGTACATGTTAGCAGCAGTATGTTTACAACTGTGCATTAGCAGCAGTATGTTTACATCTGTACATTAGCAGCAGTATGTTTACATCTGTTGATTAGCAGCAGTATGTATACATCTGTACATTAGCAGCAGTATGTTTACATCTGTACATTTAGCAGCAGTATGTTTACATCTGTACATTAGCAGCAGTATGTATACATCTGTACATTAGCAGCAGTATGTTTACATCTGTACATTAGCAGCAGTATGTTTACATCTGTACATTAGCAGCAGTATGTATACATCTGTGCATCTTACTAGCAGCAGTATGTTTACATCTGTACATTAGCAGCAGTATGTTTACATCTGTACATTAGCAGCTGTATGTATACATCTGTACATTAGCAGCAGTATGTTTACATCTGTACATTAGCAGCAGTATGTATACATCTGTACATTAGCAGCAGTATGTTTACATCTGTACATTAGCAGCAGTATGTTTACATCTGTACATTAGCAGCTGTATGTTTACATCTGTACATTAGCAGCAGTATGTTTACATCTGTACATTAGCAGCAGTATGTATACATCTGTACATTAGCAGCAGTATGTTTACATCTGTACATTAGCAGCAGTATGTTTACATCTGTACATTAGCAGCAGTATGTTTACATCTGTACATTAGCAGCAGTATGTATACATCTGTACATTAGCAGCAGTATGTTTACATCTGTACATTAGCAGCTGTATGTTTACATCTGTACATTAGCAGCAGTATGTTTACATCTGTATTAGCAGCAGTATGTATACATCTGTACATTAGCAGCAGTATGTTTACATCTGTACATTAGCAGCAGTATGTTTACATCTGTACATTAGCAGCAGTATGTATACATCTGTACATTAGCAGCAGTATGTTTACATCTGTACATTAGCAGCAGTATGTATACATCTGTTCATTAGCAGCAGTATGTTTACATCTGTACATTAGCAGCAGTATGTATACATCTGTACATTAGCAGCAGTATGTATACATCTGTACATTAGCAGCAGTATGTTTACATCTGTGCATTAGCAGCAGTATGTATACATCTGTACATTAGCAGCAGTATGTTTACATCTGTACATTAGCAGCAGTATGTTTACATCTGTGCATTAGCAGCAGTATGTTTACATCTGTACATTAGCAGCAGTATGTTTACATCTGTGCATTAGCAGCAGTATGTTTACATCTGTACATTAGCAGCAGTATGTTTACATCTGTGCATTAGCAGCAGTATGTTTACATCTGTACATTAGCACATACATAGTTCAGGGATATTTCAATTTCAAAATGAGTTTTCCAGCCCCTTAATCTTGTTATTGTTTTCATTTTGATGTCCCGCCCTCCATTGTTTTACCAATCAGAAAGTGTGTGATCCGGGTTGCTAGAACTCACCGTGTGGAGCTAATCTCACTGGTAAAGTACCATGTGGAGCTAATCTCACTGGTAAAGTACCATGTGGCCGCAGAATCCTCGCATTCCACTCACCCACACACAAGCTCACAGTTCAGGATCAGCATTAGTCACTTCAGCACATCAAGTTATATGATGGGGAAAGCTTTCATTCATATTCTAGCTGCTTCTTCTCCAGTATAATCAAGTACAGGATACCAGATTTCAAAGAAGGAGTCGGTATTTCCGTTTAGAAGACAAGTGAATCTTGGGAAAAGGTTAACGATTATCAACCAATCAGAGATATGTGGTCCAGCATCCTCTAACCATGCTGCATAATTGCTAGTTAGTTAATTTTGTATGTTGTCTCAGTTTTGGATCCGAGTTTGGCAGTGCTCTGTTTTGCTCTGACGCTCACACTGGCTCTTTTTGTCATTGAAAGTAAACTCCTCTAGCTCAGTAACTAGGGCTTAGCAAAATAAGTGTGGTTAAGCACTGTCTATGATCCTGTAGTTCATATTGTGATTCTGTCTTTATAAATCCTTAGCAACCATCTTAGCAACAAAAAGAGGCACGCTGACTTAAAATAACTATCCTTTAATTATTGTAGGGATATTATGTCCAAACAATAATAAAGGATTTATTTTAATTCAGAGTGCCTCAGACCTTTTCCTCCTTGTTTTCCACTTAATTTTCGCATGGATCCTTATAATAATAATAATAAAACATTTTATTTAAAAGCGCCTTTCAAACCCAAGGACACTATACAAGACATATTAAAAACATTTAAAACAATGTTGTAACTGCATACACAGCAAAACAGTCCAAACGACACAACAGTGAGGAAGAGAAGAGGGAACTAAAGCGAAAAAATTATCAAAGAAGAAATCAAGCCCGGGTGAACATAGCTAGCTTACATTTATCCGCTGGCGAGACTTGTCTATGGGAGAGACCTGCGGGACCGCCTCGGACTATGCTCGGACTATCTATGCTCGGACTATCTATGCTCGGACCACATTCGGACGCGAAACCAGCAGTAATCTTTCAGTGATATATTTTGTTAGCAGTGCGTTGCTTTTGTACCATTTCATCAGTGATTGTTGTACAGTACAGCTTAAGTTGTTAAATAAAACGATATGGCTCCGTGGGATGAGAGCGTAGGGGAAATGAGAAGCCTGTGAGCGAGTTGGGGGCGGTGCTAAACATTCAAACCTTACAGAAACGGGTATAGCTCCTTTAATAAATGCTGAAACTGGTGAATGCAACTTAAAGGTGCAGTAAGATATTTTGTTAGCTTCGCTGTAGCACCAACTCCCCCCTCCCCTCGCCTCTCCACCAAACCAAAACAACCGGCACATGTGAACGCGCATCCACAATAGACATTATCTGTCATAAGATGAACATGTCACATTCTCCTGATGAGCAGAGGAGTCGCGTATCGCGGCTGTGTACACAGCTGCAGAGTCGGGGCTGCAGCGGTGTCTGTGAGGTCTGTGGAGAAGTGTAGAGGACAGTGTAATGTGTTCACTGAATGATCAGACCGATGGGCTGTGTTTGTACGTTTACTCTGCACTCTGTCCTACTACAGTACAGACGTGTTACTGCAGCCGTTACTATTTGATGGCTCGCGCGCATGTTAGTATTTGGGGCGTTCACGGGTAGTCCGTACAAAAAGTATTGTTTAAACATCACAGAAAGTGCGGTAGAGCAGTAAAATCCACATGTAACAAGCTACGTGTTTGTCCTTATGGGACCTGTGGCTGCTGTGGTCAGACTTGAGACTTTATGAACTGCGTGAAACGGAGAGACCCGCGCACGTGCGGCTGTTATGTGTGATGATTACCTTGTGAATGTACTGCAAGATCTCAGACGTTAAATTC